CCTTCCATTTGATACTGGGTAACCGTGGGCAGGTTCTTGCCACTCTCTGAGCCTTAGGTTTCTCTTCCATACATCTGTGTCAACAGCACCTACGTCACAGCGTTTGGCAATTGCACGAATGAAGCCTATCGGCAAAATGCCTAGCTCACAGTTAGCATTTGGACACCATAACTGCATTTCTCCTCACCCTTTAAAATATCTCAAGGTCATTTGTATAAACACCAAAAATGTACTGAGCTCTAAGTGAGGGATGCCTTCAGGTCATACTAACATGTGCGTAGCTTCTTCCTGTTGGACTAAATGACTCTGAGCTGCATTACCTATCGTCTGGCTGTCACTGCCTTGTATACTTCTCACTTTTTTCTTCTCCAGACTTCAGGGGCTGCACCATGCTCCCATATCTACACCTATCCCTACCAACATGTAGCCTCATTCTGGCTTCTGGTGCCCTGAGAAGCCAGCTGACTAAGCCTGTTGGAAATGCATATCAAATACAGGTGCTCATTCCTAAGATATGTAAGTCTTCCCTACAATTAAAGTACATTTAGTTTACTAAATGAAATAGGATATGGAGTATATGTGATTCATCATTTTATATATCAATTATGGTTACATATTATATACTATATTATCAATCAGAATCAATTAAATTTTTTATAATTATTATGAATTATATGGGAGCCTAAATTTCTTTATTGTAGAATAAGAAAAATAATGTTGTTTCCTTGTGCACAATTTGGGGCTAAGATTTAATGAATCTGTGTTACTGGTGAAAGTGTGGAATGATACGTCTAAAGAAGAGTATGTCAACATCTAACAAACTGCATATGCCTTTACCCTTTGGTGCCAGTGATCCCACTTTTAAGAATTTCCCCTGAAAATACATCTCCACAAATACCAAGCAACATGTGCACAAGGCTATTTGCTACAGTTCTATTTGTCATAACAAATGATGGGAACAACCTACGTGTCCATAGGCTCCTGCCTGAATACACCATGGCACAGCCACATGCCGAGGCCCCACAAAAGAGTGACACAGTCTACAAAGCGACACGGAGTGATTTCCGGGATGTATTAAAGTAAACAAAACCAGAAGATGTAGATTACCCCTATTATGCTATCTTTTATATAAAAATAAGAGAAGGAAAAATCGTTTGTCCTTTTTTTTTTTTACAAGATAAACTATAGAAGAAGTATTCCCGAAATGAATAAAAATGGTTCCCTTTCAGCTCGGCCGGTGTGGCTCAGTGATTGAGCATCCACCTATGAACCAGGAGGTCATGGTTTGCCGACCGGTCGAGGCACATGCCTGGGTTACAGGCTTGATCCTCAGTAGGGGGTGTGCAGAAGGCGGCTAATCAATGATGCTCTCTCATCATTGATGTTTCTCTCTCTCCCTCTATGAAATCAATACAAAATATATTTTTTTAAAAATGATTACCTTTCAGGTGTAGACAGACACAGTGGGGAAAAGGTAGAGTTGGTGGCAATACTCTGAGTGCACTTTTTTATACAGTTTGACTTTTGAACCATGTGCCTGTTTTGATATTAAAAATAATGACACTAAATAAAAAGGACGAGAGGAAAAGCAAGCCTCAAAATTGACACAAACAAACCTGAGTATCAAATTGATATTATAACCATGTAGAGAGAAGACAGAACCTTGAGCACTATGTTTTGACTGCCTAAGGAGAGAAAAACTGAAAAGAAAATCTTTAGCCTCAATTAGTTTGTTAGAAGGATTGGTATCGTAATTGTGAAACTATTTCATATGTAGTAGGATGGAGCAAATGAAAAAAAAAACTCTGTGGGTGTTGGGAATCAGGGTTCTCACTGTGGGAAAAGGGAGATATATGAGTGGAATGAGGGCAAGTGCAGAAGACTCCTGAGGGGCTGGATTTGAGTCAGTATGAGCTCATGATTTAAAAAGATAAATGATATCCCCCAGCTCTACTTTCTGGAAGAGACTAGAGGCAATGATACCCCACCGAGCAGAGCACACCCAAATTGTATATTTTAGTGCAAAGGTAGCACTGAAAGCACCCAGGAATCCTGAGAGAAGTGGCTGACTTCAGGCCTGGGGCGGAGACATTATGAGCACAGTTTAGAATATTTTGTGCCAGCAGCAAGGAAGACTAAAGAGAACATGTCAGAAGGACCCAGGAGCCAACTCGAAGGGACTCCCACTACCCATACATGAGACCATCTGAGCACTGAAAAGAATTATAAATAGTACTGGATTTTAATACATTGGGTCAAAAAATGACCTATGAGTCAATAGGGATACTAACTATGGGGAAGGGGATGAGGAGAGAAGAGCTCTCTATAAATATGAATGTTAATTAACACATGTGGAGAGAAAGATTTAAAACTCACTCTTTTGTAAATACCAGTGCAATAAATGATTCAGGGCAGGACTGTGAAGGTGTGCTAAAACCGCTGGCTGAAAAGTTCTAGAGGGATGGGATAGTCACAGAACCTCAAATATCACTGCACAGATTAGCCGATTTACAAGGGGCAGGGGGAGCGCATTTACAGTGGCGGGACTGGTGGTCCCCATCTTATCTAAGTGACTGGTAGAGGGGCCCCCTGACACATGGCACAGTGAGAGTATACACCACCAACCCAGGTGGCATTTTTTGCCAAAAAAATATCTCATATGCTGGTCTGTCACATAAAGTCAGGTTTAACTTACTGGAACTGTCTATTTGATTATGTTTAAATTAATGCTAAATTTCTTAGATGCTCTTCGATGTTGTGGACATGAAAGAGAATGACCTTATCCTTAGGTCACCTATGCTGAAGAGTTCAGAGATCAGGTGTCATGATTTCTGCCATTTCCTTTTAAACAGTAAAAAATATCACATGCATTTTTGTAAAGATTTCCCTATCATACGTATCACACATATATATGCAAAGTGTTCACACATGTTGAATCTAGGCGAAGGGTTCAGGGGTCTTTGCTTGATTACTTCAATTTTTCTATAGCTTTGAAACATTTCAAATGTAATCCTGGGAGTGAGTCGTTGTATATAACATGCCCATGAGAGCCCAGAGCAGGGTAGGTCTCAGTAAATGGCAGCCGCAAAGACCATCACCAACATCGTTTTCGTCTTTCAACGCACTTGGCTGTGGGCTGATGAAAGATGGAGAAGGAACCACCAAATAAGTGAGCTGTGGTTTTGGCTGAGATTTTTGTGGAAAAGGGAAAAATAAAAAGCCTGTTTAGTCTCCTATCTAAGATGAAGCAGCAGAGCTCCGCGGCCATGAGCTTCTCTCACCAGCGGTGGGTTACTTTGCAGGCCCTCAGCTGAGATGACAGACCCACAACTTCCCCAGAAGACAATTTTGTCGCAGGGACAAAAGCAGCACGCGTCCAGTCAGCTCAACGCGAGAGGCGGCTCCTTGGCTTCCTGAGGGGGGTCATGGACTGGAGCCTGGCTCCAGCCTCGGTCTGTCCTGAGATGAACGAGTCCCACAGGAGCCCCTCTTCAGGGGGATGGAACCTAATCCTGGTGGACAGAGGGTCCTGTGCTCTCTGAGACCTTCCTTCAGCCCAGTGGCTCCCGAGGTGGGATCACAGGAATAGCAATAAGACTAGGGACTGGCGTCTCATGTGCTGGTGTTTTTAATATGACGATGTCCACACATCTCTGCAGAGTAGGAATTAATGTTTTATTAATGCTGCTTAATTAAAATTTAATTTCAAAGCACTGCTGTACTCATGTTGTTTTGATAAAGGCTTTGTGAATTTTTTTCCCCGGTGACAAGGAGGAGAAAAGGAGAGGTTGGAGCAGGGCTTAAAGATGGGACTTGGGAATTGCTGCTGCATATGTAGCATAGGTAGCCCTCCAAAAGCAGCCCAAGGAGGGCAGAGCATCTGGACAAAAACCAAACATCCTGAGCTGCTTCTGGATCAAGCCCTACCATTCATCTTCTGAGTCTTGAATATTCATGCTGGGTTTCCTTCAACACTGGCTCCTCCCTGTCTAGCAACCTATGGCCGAGAGTTGCTAATCCATCCTTGCCCTGCCTCTGCTTCTCAGGTCAGGCACTGGCCACACTGCCATTCCTTGAGCATCTGGGTCACCTTTTCTACACCAGCTGAGGTAGTTGTCTAGAACTCTGGGGAGCTTTCCTAGGGCAGGTGTTTGGTTCCCGGGTTGCTGTGCTAGAAGGTCCTTTGCCAATAAATATGTTTTTCCCTGTGATTTAGTGCAAATGTGACAGCGGCATTTATTGAAAACATACAATCTGCTGGGCATTATTTGAATTCTTTATACACCATCCCTTTTTATGAGCACAACCTAGAAGGCACTGGAGACATTTTTATCTCCATGTTATAGATGCAGAAACCCAGGCCCTGAGAGGTTTAGCAACCTGTCCTATGTGTTGCTTAACAAGAGTCCACCTTCTCAGATGGGGCATTATTCTACCTGCTGGGGGAGGGGCTGCACTTTTGTGAAACAATGGAGCCAGATCTGGGGAAAGGTCTGGAGGCTTTATCAGGGGCCAAGCTCAGGGCCATAGCTCCTGGCTGCAGGCAGAAGCCGTGTTGGAGGCTGAAGGGAACAGGTTTCCAGAAGCAGAACACTCAGATCACCTGGAGAAGCTGATCCAGGGAGAGCTGGACCCACAAAAGGTTGAGGTTCATTGCAAGCAGGAAGGCGGGGCCAAGGTGACAGAGGCTGTCCCCACTGCTGCTTTTACCTAGAAGTACAGTCTGCGGGGGTTGCAAGGAGAATGGCTGCAAGGAACAATTTTCAGGGAGTCAGGAAGGGTTTGTCATGAAGGTGGGCTGTGTACAACGTCAAGTTCTATGGGAACAGCGCCCCCTGGAGTTGTGCAATGCACAGTCTGCACTGAAGACCTTGGAAAAGAGTAGATGCAGAGGGGAGATTACAGAAGTAGGAAGAGTAAACACCTCAGAACTGATGGACATGGCCCGGTAGCAGGTCCAACATCCCCCACTCCCAAGAGAGGGCGCTTCCCTGACTCACCGTCCTCCTCTGTCTGCACCACCAGCTCCTCGCTCTCCATCCGGCCCTCGGGGTTGGACAGCAGGAGCCGCAGCCTGATGGTCATGAAGGGCCGCAGACCCCGCAGGGTGTAGTGGGAGGAGGTCTGAATGACCTCCTCAGCCTCGTACTGCTGCTGGTTGAACACGTACTGGTACTGCACTGTGAGGTTGTAGCTGTGGCAGCGGGTCACCGCGTAGCCAAAGGGCTCCCACTGCAGGGTCAGCTGCCGGGCCCGGATGTCCACAATCTCCACATTCTGCGGGCCGTGCACTGGGTCTGCGAACACAAGCAAGACACAAGAGGAGACTGTCAGGAAGGTGGGGTGGGGGTCCCGTAGAACAGTGGGGAACAGCTCTTCCAGCCTATCGCAGCCAGTCAGCCACTGCTCCGTGGGTTTTGCCGCACAGAATACAATTTATGTTCCTATAAATCAAACTCCTTTTTTGTTACTTAAATACATGCATCTAAAAGAAACCATAACCATATAAAAAGGGGAAACATAAATCACCTGCTGTAAATAAACATTAGCCATAAAAATAAATGCAAAATTGTTAAATTCTTAAGGGTTCATCAGGGTACCATGGAAAACCATCTTGGGTACCACCCACAGCACGCACAGCACTTTGGGGATGCGCTAAGAGCAAAGGTTGCAGGAGTTCTGACCTGCCTTCAATGAAGCTACATCCGTTCCCCTGGGAAACCAGCCCCTCTCTCCAGTTACCTGCGCCTTGGAATTTCCCTTCCTTTCATTCACAACGCAACCCACCATTTCCTAGCCTTCAACCTCCTCCTCTCCTGTCCTCCTTTCCCAGACAGGCCCCTCCAGGGACATCATTCTAAACGCAGATCTGACCATGCATTCTCACCCACAGGCTGTCTCCCACTCCATCCCTCCCACTGACCCTGCTCCCAGGCCCCCATCTAGAACATGAGCCTTGAATTACCTCATTATGAATATTCTGTTCCTAATTTATACAAATGAAATAGATGTTTTTGTACAAAACAGATGATAACAAATGAATGCATTTTCTCAATCCCCATAAGCAAAGCTCATTCTAAGGTTTAGGCATTCATTAGAGGAGAAACAGAACTCCTTTTGTCATCAGCAGCCCCACAGGTTCCGTGCCGGAGTCTCTGTGACAGCAGTTAACACTGGCTGGAGACTGAATCCATAGATGTTCCCCAAAGGACTTTACCAAGTTATGTAATCTCTGGGTTGTTGTTTTTTATTTGTAAAATGGTGATAATAGTAGCCACCTTCACTCAGAGGAAAAGGGGGAGTCAGGTGAGATGCTGCTTGCAAAGCATTTAGAATCGCACCTGGAACTTAATACACACTCCGTACACGACAGTTTTTCTTTTGCTGTAGTAGGAGTAGTAATAAAAATAACAATAATGTTTCATACGCTGTATCCATTCTGAATGTCTTATAAGTGACAGTGCAGGGTAACATCCTTATGCAAAATGATGGATTCTAGCATCTGGTCCCCTCAAAGCATAGAGTAAGGTTGCCTCTGCACCGACGCAGCCATAGGAAGGGGGAGAGGGGTCTTGATGTCCCTGAGCTTCCTGATCTGTCCTGAAATGTCTGCGACTTCTGCCAGAGCCTTACCAAAACCACTTCAGAGCATTCCTCATTTGAGAAGGATGCCCAGACGTGTCAACAGCCTGGCAAGCCAGGGCAGACCTGCTCGCACACCTCTGGGGACAGTGGGCAGCCTGGCCCCAGCTCAACGGAGTAGCTCACGGTCACTTTCACAGCTCAGTTATCCATGCTCACGGGTCCTCTGGGTAAAGGAGAGCCAGCCTCCCAAAAGCAAGCGGACAACTTTGAAACTGTGACATTGAACAAGCTGTTGCTGAAGGTCCGCTGTGCTGAGCCCACATGGAACAGAGGGTGGAAAGTGCGGTCCCCATGGCTGGGGGGGTTATGATCAGGTGTGGCGGCTGCTGCTTGGCTTAACAGCTCATGCTGGCACGGGGACCATGTGCCAGCACAGGGACGGCGAGAGGCTGTTTGCTGGGAGCCCCCGGGCATCCCCACCAGCTCGCCCAGCTGGAGCCTTTCTGTTTGTCCAGAGGCCAGAACGGCCCTGGCGGGGAGGCTGCCACCCCTGCTCAGAGCCCATGGATCACTCCTCAGGGTGGGTTTTCAAAGCCAACGCCCGGCCCTGAAGGGGTGAGTGCCCTCAGACTCGCTCTCCCTCTCATTAGTGACTGAGAACAGGAACATTTTAGCCCTACTGAAGTCCAAAGCTGACACCTCATTTTGTCAGATATCTTAAGATATACCATATAATGTTACATATAATTATAGGATCTCCAATACTCCCTGAAAGCACAAACAAGACAAACAGACACTCTCTGATGGCCAGCAGCCACAGTGCTGAGTTCTGTCATCTGCATCATCGTGTGACACCATAGGAGAGGGACTGCCAGCCCATCTACAGATGAATAAACTGAGTCCCAGAGAGGTCCAGGAGCTTGTATAGAGTAGCAAGACTAGCGAATGGCAGACTGGGTTTTGAACTTGTGTCTGTCTGTCTCCACACTTAGTGTGCAAAGTAAGAAGACGTGCCTGACAGAGGGGCCTGGGAAGGGGTTGGGCAGGCTCTGTGCCTGCACCTGGGGAAGGGCATCCTGCCCCTCCCCCTCTCTCCTCCGCTCTGCTCTGCTGGCTGCCAGTCTCCTCCCCCTGGTGTTTCAACCCCTGCACTTGCTTCTGCTCTGAAGGCTTCCCCCCCTGCACTTCTGGGCAGACGTCTGGCTATTGCTTTCTCACATTGTTAACTGTTTCCTTATATGTTAATCATTTTACACTGAGACAGGTTTGTGTGTGTGTGTGTGTTTAATCTTCACCCGAGGATATGTTTTTATTGCTTTTCAAGAGAGAGGAAGGTGAAGAGAGAGAGAGAGAGAAACATCAATGTGAGAGAGAAACATCGATCGGTTGCCTTCCATATGTACCCTGACAGGGGAACCCACAACATAGGTATGTACCCTGAACTGGAATCTAGCCTGCAACCAACTCAACCACCCAGCCAGGCTGCACTGTGACAGATTTTTAGAAACTGCCTCTGCCCAGTGGAAGGTAAGTTCCTGAGAGCAGATGATCTCTGCTCCACCTCCAGCCATGCCCAGTCTGAGTCCCAAAGAGGGGATCTCAGCAGCTGCCAGTCAAATGGATGCCCTGTTTTGTACCTTTCACCATGACCTGTGAGGGCAGCCTGGTCCTTGCCTCACCCTAGAGCAATGGTTCTCAACCTGTGGGTCGTGACCCCTTTGGGGGTCGAATGACCCTTTCACAGGGGTTGCCTAAGACCATCGGAAAACACATATATAATTACATATTGTTTTTGTGATTAATCACTATGCTTTATGTTCAATTTGTAACAATGAAATTGGGGGTCACCACAACATGAGGAACTGTATTAAAGGGCCGTGGCATTAGGAAGGTTGAGAACCACTGCCCTAGAGGAAAGCGAAGGTCTATGAGCTGAAATGGGTGCTCAGAGCCACACGGTAAAATTTGAAGTTCACGAGGGTCCTGTGTTTCTGTGTCTGATCTGCACTGTGACAGCCTCAGGGACTGGAACCAGGGGAAGGACACGAACAAGGGACATGTCACAACCATCAGGACCTGGGAAGGCCTGGGGAGGATACTGTGAGAAAGCCCAGAACCGTCAGGCAGGAGTGGCCTGAGCTTCAGGAGCCTGGGGTCGTCGCAGGGGGCAAAGACCACTGCCCTGTCCTCTCATCTGCTCTCTGGCTACTACAGCATTCTCCCCATCGCTCACCTGTGCAGGTGTGCACGCAAACACTTCTCTGCTTCTCCGAAAGGAAGGAGCAGGCAGGGGCACCTGTTCAAAGAGGGCAAGAGATGCTGCACGCCTGCCACCGAGCACGGAGACTTCCTCCCAGAGCTGGAGGCCAGGGCACAGGAACAGTCATTGTTCCCTCCGCAGCACCGGTGACTGACTGTCCTCAGACACACAGGGACTGCGGAGCCAGACAGAGCATGGCCTGAAGCCAGACTCTGGCGCTCATGAGCTGCGTGACCTTGGGCAAGGGCACTTCAGCACTTAGCCTCCACTCCCTCATCTATAAAGGAAAAATTATTGCGCTAATCTCGGAGGGCTGTTAATGAGTATAAAATGAACTGAAGAGAGAGAGAAGAGAATTGCTTCTGCCTGACAGTGGGCATCCCTCTTAGATGGACGGGCCTTGCGTGGAGGGGAATAGAAGCTGCATTCCCAGGGCCCTGGGCTCAGTGGTGCTCAGGCCTCGGAGGAGGAAGAAAGTGGATTCCCTGGGTTGTTGGGACGGACCAGGAGAGGATGGGTGAACAAGATGGAAGACGGCTGGATGGAGCCCAAGGTGACTGCTCTGTGTGTGACTCCTGGACCTCCCATACAGTCCTCAGAATACAGCAAAACGGTTTGCTGTGATTGGACTTCTCGTGGGTTCGAGAAAGGGCTGAGGTTTGCCTGACTCACTCAGGCCAAAGGGGATACTGCCTGGAACCCAGTGACCAGAGGCAAAGGGGACTTGGCGAAGATGTCCACGTGCTATCACGCCTTGAGCTAAGATGGTGAGGGTTCTCCGCACTGCAGAGATGAAGAGGCCAAGGAAGTCTTATAGCATACGCACAGGGCAAGGAGGAGGGCTACACTGTGCAGCAGGCTGTGTTCCGTAAGTCCGAGAACTCCCATGCAGAACGGGAGAGGCGGTGGCTATTTATTGAGCACTAGCCCAGGCTAGGAAGGCACCTGCAGGATGAGAATGCTTCTCTGGCTTAGGGAATGGAGGCCAGTGAAGGAACATGACGTACCCAAGGCCACAAGCCAGGTCCCCGGTTCTGGGCTCCCGAGGCTCTTTGCACAGATGTCCAGCCCACTCAGCACTTGTCATGCTTTCTAGGAATTGCTGGTTCAGTTACTCATCACTCCTCCCAGCTGCAAGGGACCCATTCTGTTTGTCCAGAGCCCCCAGCACATGGCACAGGGTCTGCTGAGGGCTAGTTCATGTTTGTTAAAACGAGAGGAACAGATGGAGATCTGCCCTTGGAAGCTGAGCCCAGACCTCCAACGCCACGTCCCGTTCCGTGGCCTCCAGCAGGCCACCGGATCTTTAAGGGGAACGTGTCTATTTTTGCATTCCAGCAAGAGAATGTCCTAAAATCCCAGACAATGAAAACTAGCCTTGAGAATGAGTGTGACGGAGGCATTCACACGTTCAATCTGACCCCCGAAACCTCGGCCGCCAGACCCGGCTCC